GGCGCCGGCTGGGAAATGCAGTCTGGCCCAGGCACGACGCCAACCCGCCGGGCTGCCTACAAATCCCAGCACGCCGGGGAGCGGAGCTGCACCCCAGCCTGGCTCCTGCCTGCTTCCTGCCAGCACGGGGAGGGGGAAATATAAACGGCAGCAAAGTTTGGATGCTGCCACCGGACAGGCTGCACCAGGGAGCAGAGGCAGCGCTCGCGGTGAGTTTGGGCTTTTCTCTTTAGCAAAATCCCGGCTGCGTGCAGTGGGGTAATCGCTGCTTTGTGCGACGTGGCTGTAGGATGAGCTGCGGGGACCAGCAAGCATCCGCGTGAAACGCTTTCCTGCATGTCTGGCATTGTGTGCATGGGGGGGTGCTCGCAGCGGAGATGCGTGCATGTGCATATACACATATCTGTATGTAAGCAATACTGCAGTTATTAGAGGCAGGTAGGTGGAAAGGAAAAATCAGGCTCGGTTTGCAGCAAAAATTGGAAGGACAGAGCAAAAATTAGAGGTGGTGTTCTCCCTCCAGGAAGGGCTGCTCAGCTCCGTTGCCTCCTCTCATTTCATTTTCACTTTTAGAAAAGTGCTTTGCTGAAATTCGGTCAGAGGAAAGCTTCTCCCTGGTGGTTGTCACCCTCTGCCCTGCTCTGTGGGAGGAGACCCCTTCCCAGCATGGGTTATGGGTGGAAGAAGCAGAGGGATGCTCAGCATCTCCTGGCTTTCCAGACACCCCCTGGCTGGGGGAGCAGCCCTGCCAGCAGGGCTTTCCACCCCGGGGGCAGCTGGGGAGTGCACATGCAAACATTGAACCCCCACGGCAAGGCTCTGGCTGTCGGGGCTGGCATCAGCCAAGTGCATTTCCTACCAGCCCAGGCGATACTTTGCACGGCCCCTGAATAATAAAAAAGAATTAAAGAAAATTAGGATAAAAGAGACCCTGACTTCCCCTTTACGCTGCATGCTGGCTTTGGTCTATGCTTGCACAGCCCCCCAACCCAGTAATCAGGTAGGGCATGAACTGGTAAATGAGGTTTTAACCCCCCTGCCATTACCAGCACATCTGTGCAGAGACATCATTGCTGCTTCTGCTCTCCAAAGAAACCCCACAATGTACTTGTAGGAGCTGCTGGGTAGAAATAACCCCCATGGGATGCCCCTCAGTGGGAATGAGAACAGTTCCCATCCCACAGGCTGAATCCTAAAAGTCCACTTCTAACTAGTGCGTAGAAATGAAGTGTACAGCGTGGTGGTTACAGAAACCACAGGACCTGGGCGTACAAAAATAAATGCCATTTCTTATTCAGCTGCGAGGCACAGGCAGTCCACGTAACCACTCCTGACTTTCATCTGCCAGACCTGGGTTAGCACAGCCTGCACGGAGACCTTTAGCGTAGGAGCTGGCTCAGGGGGCTGTGGGGGGGCAGACCAGCCCCCTCAGGGGGTTCCTGTCTTGCACCCAAGCCCTCACCACGCATCTCTTCCTATTCAGGCCTTTTGCAGCTGCAAATGAGCATCTCACGCAGTGAACTTGCTTATTTGTGGATACAAAGTCACGATTCAAACAAAAAAAAGTAGCAAGAAAGGCAATAAGGATGTGAACTAGAAGCCCACCGGTAAGATCTGACCTGTTTTTAGCTCCGATTAATCTCCAATCCCTAGTTAAGGTGTGTAAAGACAGACTTATTTTGCTGGAAAGAGCTTCACAACCACTTTCAGCAGTTTCCCCTGGAGAAAAATACTCTTGGGGGGGGAGGGAGGGAAGCAGTGAACTGTGATTGAAAAGCCACTTCATCATATTTAATTAGAACTATTAGACCATGCTTTCTCAGAGCAGAGCTGTCATCAGCAGAAGCAGGTTCATTTGGGCTGCTCCACTTGGTGGGTAGGATGTCCCCTTTCTTTTGCACTCCTCCCCCTCTCTAGATTGGCTGTGTTATAATGCAGCGGTTTAATTGTATATTTTCTCTTTGAGGCTGAAAGTCGAAGATGGCAGAGCCTGAAAGCACAGTCATAAACACCGATGTGAAACAGGTAAGAGGTTGTTCGTTACAAAACACACATCCTGTATTTCTAAAGCAAATTTTGAAATGCCACCACAGAAGAGGATACACCACAACCCAGAGCTGTGGTGGCCTGAATTGCTTGTGCCTAGGTTTCAGAAGAAGCGGCCTGTCCCAGGGCTGCTGGGCACCTGGTCCCGGTGAGGTCCGTGTGATTTCCGCATGGGAAAGGTTGCAGGACTGAACCTCCGGTTGCATGGACAGGACGGGTGCATTTGCTCACACTTAAATTTTGGAGCGGCCAGGAAGAAAGCAGCAGCTTCTGTACATGTACTTTATTAGACTCTTCAGAACAGACACAAACAAAGGGTAAAACCACCAGTACATGCAGAGAAACCCAGAGTGCCCAGCTCAGCACAAAGAGGTGACCATGGCTGTGCTGTGCCCACAAACACCATGAAGCAATCCCCTCTGGTGTGAGCTGTCCTCAGAGCATATGGCACTTACCAGACAGGTTAGGGTTTCACAACTGCCTGCCCCATCCTTGGTGGCCTGAAGATGAAGATTGGGCTTGGTACCTCTTCTCCAAAGGCCCTCTGGCATCAGGAACCGTGACACATGGGTGATGCCTCCAAAGCCCGACCCCACACCCTGGTCAGTGGAGCCCTGTGTCCATCCCCCTGCTCCCCCCACCTCCCCAGGCTCCTTCTTTGCTGTCCCCCAACCCCTCTTTCCTCGCTGTCCTGCAGAAAGACCCCAGTGAGGCACTGGTCATTGCGGTGACCACCAGAGCCATCTTCAACCTGGAGGAGGAGCATAAGCTCTACCTGGAGAAGGGCAAGGAGGAGTACACAAGGCACCAGCAGGCCAACCAGGACAAGCCCCTGCCACCAGGCACGGCCTTTGCCTTCATCCAGGTGAGCCCCACGCCCGGCCAGGGGCACATCCAGACACTCGCAGGATGGGGTGAAAGCTCAGCTTTCCTGGCTTTAGGTCTCAACTCCCATCACAGGGTGCAGATATGTCTGTCCTGGCCTCTTGGTCTCATTGCAGGGCATCGAGACCTGTGCTCCTCACCAGTCCCACATGTCCACCTCCCCTCTGATGGGGCGTCCTGCTCCCTGCCCTCCTGGCAATGGCTTTTGCAGGATGGTTGCTCTGTCTGGCTCTCCATAACGTGCTAGCTCTGCCATAGCTGACAGATGCAGCACAAACCACTAAACTTAACTGCGAAAGAGCCCTGGCAACGCCATCGCAGTCATGCCCCTCCAAAAGAGTCTCATCTTCTCCTCGCAGGCGGCGCAGTATGTGAACAAGAAGATCCTGGAGAGCAACCCGGCAGAGAAGGACCTCTTTGACATCCTGGTGCTCTCCAACAACAGCCCAGAGAGCGGCGTGCGCATTGTCAACAGCGCCAAGCACTACGGTAAGGGGGACCCCATCCTCGGGGCTGGGGGTCTGCTTCCCCCTGGGAGGCTGCGAAGCAGGTAAGGCACCACAGTGGAGCATCAGTGGCAAATACAGAGCCAGGAGACACAAGGGGAAGGGGTTATTTTGGAAACAAGCCCCATTCCTGCCAGCCCCATGCAGCTTGCCCGGGGTGCTGGAGCATACCCAGGGTAGAGGCTCCTTGGCAGAGCCCGGCTCCCTTCGGCCGTATCCTTTGCACCAGGGGGTCTGGCAGTATTTTGCGCAGCCTGGGCATCCTCAGAGAGCTACTAGAGAACAGAGTTCTTAAAAAAACCCCTAAATCCCAGAGTGCTGTCAGGAAGACTCATTTAAGGGAGGGATGAAAGACATTTAACTGCACTCTGCAGTTTTGTAGGAGCAACAGGGCAAGAAGATGCAGCGAGAACAGGGGCAGGTTCCCCACACAGCACAGGGAAATTAATTGCCTTGAGCTCTGCAGCAAAGCACGCCAAGACCCTGGGAGGGGAGGGGGGGGCTGCGAGGAGGATGTTGCCCCATAACAGACTTTGCTTACATCCCCTGACCCGAAGGCCTGGAGATCTCCAAGTTCTGCTTCGTCAGCGACGAGGACTCCACGCAGTACCTGAAGTCCCACGGGGTGAAGCTCTTCCTCTCGGCTGACAGGATAGATGTCTGCAATGCCCTCCAGAGAGGTGTGTTCTCCCTCCATCCCACCTCCCCAAACCTACCACACTTTTCCCAAGGAGCCCAGTACCAAGAGGCAATGCCAGAGCCCGTGCTCTCACAAGGGTGAGGGGTGAATGGCACGTTGATTACTAGTACGGTCCCAAACAGTTCAATCTCCTCCTCCGTCCCCACCAGCAGCCTGCAAACACACCAGGGTTTCTCAGATACCTTCACAAGTCACCAAGTGCTTTATGCATAATTCTGGCCGTAGCTCTGCCATGGGCTGATCATTCCCTGCCTGACATTTAAGCCTTTCTAATCAAAGATGCTGCCTGTTGTTGCTCTCTGGATCAATGAGTGCATCAGCGATTCCCAGGGCTCTGTGAGGATGCTATAGAAATTTGCTTTCTTGGTACATGCAGAGTTACCATGTGCTCAGTGATAGATGTAAGCGCACGCTTGACATGGATCGGAGGGAGTGCAGTCCCCCCAACAGCTCTAATGGGGTTAATCGCCTCCTTATTAATTTGCTTGGGTATGAGCACATCAGCTGGCCAAGGTCCTTCAAGGTCAGGAGCAAGCCATCTGCAGCCTGGGCTTTCCTTCACTACACAGCACATTCCTGGAGCCTCCCTGAAGAGCATCATTCCTCTGACAAGTGTCTCTCTCGTCCGGGGGCCTCGGTCCATGGGTGAGCGCAGGCAGGGAGCAGCCTGCAGGAAGAGACCTGTAATTAAGCCAATTACCCCAATCAAGTGGAGGTGCCAGTCCCTATTACTCACAGCTCAGAGTGCTAAATCTGGGCGTTTTAATGCTTGGCAGGGCGAGCGAGCACCAGAAGGAGGGTTGCTCATGCCTACAAAACCACCCATCATCTTTTAGCAGACCGAGTATCTCTCCAGACATCAGTCTCTGATCAGCAGCGCCTTCTCGTCCATCCCCACGGGGGGATAACACAACCCTTGAAAGGCTGGGCTGAGCCCCACGGAAAGACCCCTGGCTTGGAGGAGCCCCCAAACATTTGCGGTGTGGGACAGGGCTGCAGCAGATGCGCGGGGAGGAGCTGACCCCCGGGGGGGGTGTCCCTCCTGAGCCCCACCTTGCTCTGTCTCGCAGGGGTCTCGGCAGCGCTTGTCTTCCAGCAGGAGGTGCAGGCCCCCAGCACCCCGCTCCGCGTGGTGTTCGACGGGGACGCCGTGCTCTTCTCCAACGAGACGGACCAGGTCTTCCAGGAACAGGGGCTGGAGGGAGCAGTACAGTACGAGCGGGCGATGGAGGCCGTGCCCATGGGAGAGGGGAGCAGGCCACCCCACTTTGATGCATCCATAGGCTCTGCACCCACCGTGAACATCTCTCCTGCTAGGGCTTTGCCATGAGTAGCCAAAAAAGCACAAATCCTTACAGGTCCCCTTTGCATCCAGCACTCGGTCCCTGGTGTGGGCCTGATCTGCCGTCCCACTGGAGATGGATCTGGCCCGATGTCTCCTGTAGGTGAGCATCAGCTCCCAAACATCCAGGGTTGTGGTTCCCTCCACTTCACCTTTCGTAGGCTGGGGCTGCTTGCTGTGCAAGTCCCTGCAGGACTCGGACCCAGAGGCACTGCTCGCTGCGATGTACCTTCCTGGTCACTTTGGGATTAGGATGAGCACCACAATGCTCACCTTCCTCCCGAGCACCCCAGTGCACAGCACCAGTCCCAGCACTGCCCAATCCTGCACCCCACAGGCATCCCTGTGCTCTGCAGAGCCCTGAGAGACCCTGGAAGAGGAACAAGTGGCTTGTACAGGCAGAGTAGATGTCTCCTTATTTCCCACCCGCTCTCAAGTATCTTGCTGTGCTTCCAGGGTCCCCTGAAGGCTTTTGCCATGCACCTTGGGAAGATCCGCAAGAAGTTCAGCCAGGAAAAATCCCCCATCCGTACCTACCTGGTGACCGCCCGCAGTGGCCGGGACATGGGCATCAGAGCCATCAAGACTCTCCGGGAGTGGGGTTTGGCCATCGATGAGGCTTTCTTCATGGACGGGGCTCCCAAGGGCCCCATCCTTGCCCAGATCCAACCCCACATTTTCTTTGACGATGGCCTTCATAACATCCAGGGGGCTCAAGATGTGGGCATACCCTCTGCCTGGGTCCCTTCCTGCTGCTGATGGGCTGCAGGCCAACAGTCCTCCCTCCCAGCAGCACAGGGGACTGGGCCAGTTGAAGGCAAACCTGGTGGAGAGGGAAGGATTTCCTAATCTTTGCAGCAAGCAAACCTCAGGGAAAGGGGGTAAGAGCACTGCATGAGAGCACAGACTACCAGGCAAGACGTGATGCTCATTTCTGCCTCTGATATGAGGTCCTTTAGGTCTTAGGATAAAGCCAAAAGATGCAACTGCTCCAGGAAGGAGGGACACCCTTGCTGTGACACTGAAGACTATCACCTACCTGCCCTGTAGGAGCTGGAGACTTTTTGTTCTGCAAAGAAATAAATGAAGTTATTACCCCATACATGAGCTAAAGGAAGCATGAAACCAAGCACTAAAATGCTAACTTTGGCTGTGCTTAGACAGTCTCCAAGATTTACTCCCAGGACCTCTGCCCAAAGGAAGCCCTCAAGACCCCACCTCACCAGACACACTCAGCTTGGTTTCCTGGGGAGGCTGATGCGTTTGCAAGTCCTTCAGGCAGCTCCAGCCAAACTCAGCAGAGAGAGAAAGACTTCAAAGCTGTAAAAGACCTACAAGCTTTTTAGAAATGGGTGACCGGGTTGAAGAAAGCAAGCCTAAGCTGTGCCCCTATATAGAAGAGAGTATAGCACAAGTCACCTTTCCTTAGGCACACAGGCTGCTCAGAGTGCCATTAGGAGACCCAGACCTGTAGGACATGGAAGCTGCAGGAGATGGGCCAGGGACAAGACTGCAAGCCAGGTCTGAGGTCTATCCAGGAGGCAGAGCTGCCATGTAGCTCTGGTGTCCCTCCAGGAGAGGGCACTGGAGGTGGGCTGCCTGCAGCACAAGCCATGCAGGAGCCAGGGCTGCAGACCAGCACCCCACAGACCAGGGCAGGACTGGGTGCCCAGGCCTGAGCTTAAATGGGTCTCCAGGGCCGTGGGCGGAGGTGGTGGGTGGGGGGGTCCCAGGTGCAGCTGTTTGGTGCAGACGGAGTTTGTGAGTGTGCTCAGAACCCTGCCCGGCACCAAGCCACCTCCCACGCAGGGATGCCTCTCCTCCAGCAATTTGGACTCTGCTCCTAATTTTCCTGGGGAGCAAGCAGCCCCCCAAGATTCATTTGCAGGTTTTTTTCCCCAGGGCTGGATGTGAGCTGTTACCAATAGAGGCCACTGTGCTGCCTGGGGACATGGCACCCCAAATTCCTGGGAGCTCCCCACACCTACCTTGTAAGAAAGTACAAACTGGCTGCTCAGGGCAGTGCCTGCTGGGTGGCAGCGGGATTACGGATGGAGGAGATCAAGATAACTGTGGCTTAGTTTTTTTTAATCTCAGCGTAATCAGAAAGTAATTTTTTTTTAAAGGCTTCACAAGCATCACTCTCACCAATGCTTTCTTCCCCCCAATAAATCAATAAACGAGCATCCCCGTGTGAGCGCTTGTCCCTCACGCCCATGTTCAGCAGTGTGGGAGGAGGGCTGGGATAACTCAGTGCTCCTTTATGGACATTCAGTTCTTTAATCCGGTCTTATACGCGTGCATCAAGATGGGTTAAATACACAAGAAACTTTCAGTGGGCTTTGGATTAGGCCCCTGAACATCTTCTTGCATCTGTGTCCCCAAGCCCACTCCCTCTGCCCCACTACCCTAGGCCTAACAAGGGGAGCTGCTGGCTCCGCAGTGCCACCAGCACAGGTCCTGTCCCTGCCACCATGGCCACCATATGGGTCCAAACTGGGCGCTGCCAGGGCAGGGCACGCATGCCCATGTGCAGGGCTTGGGTGAGAAGCCACCTCCAAAGATGCAAATCCTGGTAGGGTTTTGGCACCGGCAGTCTGGCCCCTGGCCCTTTTGCTCAGTCCAGATGCTGAAATTAGATGTCTCGAGGTAGCAACATCAACAACATCAGCTACTCATCATTCGCTAATAACGCTAAGCACCCGTCAGCCTCAGTCGCTGAGCAAACATTAATTACAGGATGCTCAAAACATGCCCGGTGAGCAGGTACAGATGTTCGTCCCACTTTTATGCAGGTCAGATACCACAGGGCTTGGTGTGGGGATCCAAGCACCGACCTCCAGCCCCGCTCACCGTGCACAGCCGCCTGCTTTAGTGGCAGCTGGCAGTGGGGACACGGACCCGGCGGTGGTGGCAGTGGTGGTGGTCACGGACATCCTCCACCACTCCGACCCATCGCCTTTGCCAGCAGGAGCTCGGTCAATGCCTTGGCCGAGGGGGAATTAGCTGAGTCAAGGGTGGTGGGGACAAGTCCACGTGAGCTTTTGCAGGGCACGAGCTGCTGAGGCAGGGGGAAGGCGCCGCGTGCCTTCCTCCAGCGCTGTCAGCGTGGCGGGGGATGACAGGGCGAAATGTGCCCAAAATGGGAAAAAAGGAAGGAAGCTCAGAGTTTGCAGGGTTGCGTCATATGGGGCCAAGTGCAGTTGCTTCGGGTCATGACTCAAAGGCGTAGCATCAAAACTGCCTTTTATTGCCCTGCTCCAAAGGTGGGGCATCAAAAACCCCCTCTGGTAAGGGCTGCTGCAGCTTCACCCCCTGCTGCAAGGGCAAACTTCTTGTTTCTGTCTTAGAGGCATCTGTAATAAGTTCATTAATGCTTGGGATGTTCCTCAAGTCTTGGCTTTCTGAGGCATTTTAATCTCCCTCCTTCAAGGGGTTGGTGGTGCCCAGGGGTCTGCTGCTGCTGCTACAGCCCAAAGCAGGTTTAGCTGCTGGGGCTGATTGCGGGATGCTTCTCTAATATCCACCTAAGGTTTTGGGGGCCAGGGCAAGGCAGGAGCAGGTCACACCACCTGTCCCCCACAGGGACGGGCACCCTTCGAGCCCTGCTGGGTTTCACACCTTTCCACTCTGCGAAAAGAAACAAAGGGGTGCAAAGGGGGCTCCGAGGACCTGCACTTGATTCTGGCCATTGCTTTTCAGCAACCCCATGCCATCCCAGCCGAAGCTGCCCAGTGTTGGGGTTCCCCCCTCCAGCACTGACCCGCAACTGCTTGGGACAGCCCCATGACACCCTCCTGGTGCGGGGAAGGAAGCGGGCGATGCCCCCTCTCCGCTCAGCCGCAGGCTGCCTCCTCCGCTGAGCCCAGCGGTGCCGAACAAGCGGCCCTTGTTTTGGGGGCGGCACGTGACCCCAGGGATCGGAGGCTGCAGCCGTCTGGCCCCATGGAGTTTGCAGGAGACCTTTGCCCAGGAGCGTGCCCTTAATCCCCCGCTCGCTGCACCAGTCAGTTTAGGGTTGCAACGCTAAAAGAAACCAACTTAGCACTATGAGAGAGAAAGGAAATTTTTTATGAAAAGGTGGTGCTGCAGGGAGGGAAGATTGGCAGGTATTTAGCTGCTAGCAGACATCTGCATTGGCAATGTCGGAGCAGTTTGGCTTTATTGTCTCCTGGCTGCAGCGGGAGAGGATGCTGGAGGCTGCAGGACCCGGGCGCAGCTGCGGTGTCCCTCAGGGATGCTCCCGCACCTCCCTCCACCCTACAAGCACCTTTGGCCGCGAGCACGGGGCAAGCATCTTCACATTTTTGACCTAACCCTAAACCACCCCGGTAGCAGAGCTTCTTGGGAAACACTCAGGGGTTCGCAGCCAGAGAGGCTGAGATGCCAAGTCCCACGCTGCAAATAATTATTAACAGGGTGTTTTGCGTACAGAAGCTCAGAGAGAGGGTGTGCAAAGCCGCAGACTGTGTTTGCCAAGGTGCTTAAACGTGGGTTCAAGATCTTAACCCAGGCAGGCATGTTGGAAAATGCTGGCTGCGGCGACAAGTGAAGCCGGTGCTTAGGAGAAAGGTGACAATAAATAGGAGGGAATTAAGAGCCTTTATGGGCATATTCACACAGCAGCACCCGCCCCAGGAGGTCAGGATTGATTCACCAAAGAGAAGCTGGGTGGTTGCTCCCACTCCAAGGAAACACATTGCAATTTTAAGCCGATCCTTGGGTCACCATGGGGTGTTGACCCTCATCTTTCCGAGCCCACCCTCCTCCCAGGACCAGAAGGCTCAATTGCTTTGGTGCTTTGCCACATGGAGGAGATGTAATTGCATAAATGATGGTCTTCTCGAGGCAACTTCGGCTGGAAACTAAAGGAAATAATTAAACGGCATCTAGTGCCGGCAAAGAAAATGAGATGGACGGCATGCTTGGATGAGACTGGAGGCACATCTCTGCATCGTGGATGGAGATCCCACCTGTGAGCCAATACCCCCCGCCCCAAGCCGGGCTCGCGTGGCCCCAGGGACCGCGGCAGGGATTGCTCAAGGCAGGCGACACGGTGAATTGGGTCCCGGTGCTCCCCATCACATCCTGGCGTGGGAGTCGATGAATCAATGCCATCATCGCCACTTGCCCCCTCCCCCCACGCTGCCAGCCACGCTGCCTGCTGCCGTTGCCTGCCAGGGTTGTTGTTGCCCATCCCCGACAATTTCAGCCTGCTGCAAAATAACTCAGGTGAGGCAGACACCACGAGATCCCTGCCCCGAGGAGCAGACAGGGCCGGCAGACGGGGTGAGGCAGGTCCCCTCCTCCCCGAGATGGGTGCCAGGCGTGTCCCCGGCTGCTGGGGAGGATGGGCCGGGGGATGCGGAAGGACGTCCGAC